GGGATCTCACTGTTATCAAGGTTAAGCATCCTACTGTTTTAGCGAGAGGAAGGGGAGTGAAAGAGTGGGGAGAGGGGAGATGGATAGATAGGGTATGGAGGGTGAGAGCTTGGAGACAAAAGAGAGACCGATGAAGGGAGAAGGGGAAAGAGGGGAACCGAAGGGGGAGAACGAAGGAGAGACGGGTGGAAGGGGGAGAGATGACGTGCAGGAGCGAAGTGCCCTTGCGAGCAGTGGGAGTTTTTGCAAGCTCTCGCAATTAAAGGGCTTCACTTTCTCTTTTTTTGTGTGTGTGTGTGTGTGTGTGTGTTTCCTTCTGTCTCTCTCCATTATTATTTGTCCATTGGGGCTGCTCCATGTGCACCCAAACACACACATACACACTCACACACACTTCCCCACATCCATCTTCAAACCTCTTAAGGGAGGCTTTGAGAGTCAGAGGCACTTGTATCTATGAGGTCTCAATCAACTGAAAGCCCATCAGAGGAAAAACAAGATTCCTTCTATTTCGCTGCTCGTAATAAGGGCGGAAATTTATTATTGCAAGTTTAAACCAAACAGGCAGCAACACAGAGGCGTGCACTTTAGCCGTTTCGCTTCGTTCTAAACTTTGACTCCTGAATAGATGCAGCAGAAAAAGTCGACGCTGTTCACGGGAGGCGACATCGCTCCCTCTCCRTTTATTTCCTACGGAACTCGTGCGATGAGGCTTCAAACGCCTGCCCTTCTCCAGCCAAGTCGCAGATGAAACTCGTGAAAATTTCGAGCTCGTAGACGTGTACGGCTCAAGAAAGTTGAAARATGTTCAACTTTTGTTGCTGTCGCATGGCGCTGCAGCCGATCGGCGAGGGTTCCATTGATTGTGCAGCAACCGCTTTCAACATGGAGGAAAACTGACACCGACTTTACAAAGCAAATTGTTATATTAAATAGGAAAGTCACAGACTGCTTTGATAACAGCAAAATCCTTCCAATTTCACGACCAATCAAATTCCTCTTATCATTTGGTTTTTTGCCAACCGCCAATAAAATCTACAAGAATAAGAACCAATCAAATGTCTTGGAGACAAGCGACCCAAGAGCACGATTTGCAACGCTGCCACACTCCCCTTTGTGTCGAGCCCATTAAACTGATTTGTCAGGTTTTATTCTCTCCAGTCATGGAATGCGTACTTCAGTTAATCATTGTTTAAATCTAGTTACCAAAAAGAAAAGAGGAACAGTCACTTTTTGTTTCTCATACATACATTACTCAGTTTTTCTTTAAAAACTGTAAAAATAAAAACTGAAAGAATTATAGTAGAATAAGTTGTTTCTGGTTTATTCTCTTGCACTTTATTCTGTTTTATTTTGCATGTTTTAGTTTTGGAAACGGCTCACTGCCAATATTGATCAAAAAGTCTCGGCACATTAAAATCATAAAAAAATCCACTGAAATGACAGCAGCTACAACAAAAAGGTTGTTACAACAGGGAAACAGCGATCTTCCTTAAAGGGATCCCCGATTAGTTGTAACATTAGACTTTATATGATAAACATGTACTTTAACTGTAAAATAAAGAC